AAAACCCTAAGCCCTATTCCCTAAAGGCCCCTAAACCTTCTACAACCCTTAACAGAAGGGATTGCTAATAAAAGTACGGTCACCATAAGAAGGCTCTATAAAAGCCAAATGCAACCCTTTACAACCGTTAGAAGCAAATCTAAATGTCCAGGCGACGATCAGCCCTAAACCCTAAACTCTATACTCGTATAGGGGCCTTAGTTCAGAACACCAAGGAATACGCTTGGAATTTAGGGACTATAGGGTTTAGGGTTTAAGAGAATCCCCTAAACCCAACCCTAAACCCTAAACCGCTAAATTGGTGTAGCTGCCTTGGGCTCCAAGCATCATGCAACTGGCCTCCCGCAAGGGTCACTTGCGCTTCTTCTTCAAACTGCTTGCCCGAGACTCCACTCCCCCCTTAAACCGACTCCAAGCCCCCTTCACAGGAAGATACCTTAAAATAATTAGGGTTTAGGGTTTAGGGTTGAGGGTTTAGGGTTCCTTCACAGGAATATACCTTACACTAGTAATAGGACTCCCTAAGCCCTAAACCCTAATAGGAACCTTAAGAATCAAGGGTTTCTTGGAGTCTTAAACTAATAATTGGACTCCCTAAACCCTGAGCCCTAATAGGAACCCTAAGAATTCAATTCCTCTGCGGGTTCTCTTAGGATCAGATTTCCTCTTCGGGGCTTGAGAGGGAACGGTTGATGATATTAATCCTGCATTACCTATAAAAAGGAATATACCATGATTCCCATAGTTTAGGGTCCTTAAGGTAATACAGGGTTTATATTGAAAAAGCACCGGAATGCTTAAGTCTGACCCACATGAGGTGCTAAAACCTGTGGCTTAAATCTGGTGCGTTTCGTGGGGTCCGAAATCATGGATTTCCGGGTAGTTTCTGAAATGGGCAGACTAGGTACTGGGTTGGGTGTGGGTTGGGTTTGGGTCCGGATGCGGGGCTGGATGGTCGGCACAGGGGTTTGGGTCAGGGACCCCGTCAGCAACCTGACCCGTCGGGACGCGTCGGGAGCCATCGGGAACCCGTCGGGGACCGACGCGTTCCCGACAGGTCCGGACGGGTTCTTGACGAGTCCCGACGGGTCCCCACGTGTTCCCGACGGGTCCCCGACGGGTCCCGATGGGTCCCCACAGGTCCCCGACAGGTCCCCGACGCGTTCCGACGGGTCTCCGACGAATCCCCGACGGGTTGCGACAGGTCCCCAACGAGTTCGGTTGGGTTTGTGCCCCTCCCATCCCCCCCTTTTCCCTCCCCCTCCCCCTTCCTCTCAAGTTGCTTATCTGTGCAGGTTGGCAGAGGGGGAGATTTGCATCCAAAATCAGCTCCAACAAGTGGCACTACATTCCTGGATTCAGACCCCAAATTCAACAGTCAAGCCCTCAAAATCATGGCTTAGACCCTAGTTTATGATAGGTACAGCCACCAAATGGCCAGAAGTAGCCCCAGATCCGAAAAAGCAGACTTAAGCATTCCAGGACTTTTACAAGGTTTATATCATCAACAGTACCAGGCCTACTACTTTTTGGTCTATGACCCCAAAAAACCAGTGCTTGTGCGTGGAACAAGGTAGGCTCTGCACGGTGCAGGTATAGCTTACATCATGCTAAGAACTGTGCCGTAACTTGAGGCACCTAGACCCCAGAATGCAGCACGTTCTTTTGGACCACCTTTCTATTGGCTAGAATCCTGGGTTCTTACCCCTAAACCCTAAACCCTGTTCTGCCCAGAGAACCCAATACCCCTTAATTCAGGAATATACCTTAAATCCTAATATTAAGGCCCCTATAATTTAAGGTATATTCCTTATTTAAGGGGTATTGGGTAGGTTAAGGTGGGTATGGTGCTAAACTCTAAACCCAAAACCCAAACCTTAAACCCTGAACCCTAAACCCCTAAAACCCAAAACCCTAAACTAAACCCTCAACCCTAAACCGTAAAGCCTGAACCCCAAACCTTAAACCCTGAACCCTAAACCCCAGCCCTAAGGGTCCAAGTACATATACTCTCCCAAATATTAACCTAGATAACTACTATTACTATCCGCAACCAAAGTACCTTATTATTGGGTCCTTTGGACCCTTAGGGTAGTAGGTTAAGGTAGGTATGGTCCCGAAAAGGAGCGGCTATGGCAGCCTCTGCACTACCCAGGGCCCGGAGCTTACCTGAAGGCTCTATGAATTCAGGCCTTGAAGCTTTCCGTGGGCCCCCAAGAACCATGTAAGGGTTTAGGGGTTTAGGGTTTAGGGTTTTGGGGTATAGGGTTTAGGGTTTAGGGTTTAGGGTTGGTGTATATTATAATAGATGAGGAACCCTCAAAAGGGTATAGGTAATTATTAAAGCCCCCTATTTTAAGGCTTGTTTGGTCCATTTTGAGCCTCAAGGCCTTAAACACCAAGAGGGCCAATCCGGCTCAGATTGAAAATGACGAGTCTTCTCGCCCAAGCATCGCCGGCAGCACAGAGAGCGTTTTCCTTCGGAGGCGAGGTTTAGGGTTTAGGGTTTAGGGGGCTGTGGGGTCGAGGAACGTAAGCTTTTCGGGATCCCTTAAGGGTTCCTTTTCAAAGGGACCCTCGTATGGAACACTCTAGCGCCCTTTGAGGGGGCTCCTAGAGTTCCCATAAAAATTCCTTTTGAAAGGGACCTCAGTATGGAACACTATAGTGCCCTTGAAGAGGGCCCTATTCCTTTAAGGGTTCCCTCAACCCGAAACCCTTTAAGGGTTCCCTAAACCCTAGACCCTAAACACTCAAACGTGGATCCTTTAAGGATTCCCTAAACCCTAGACCCTAAACCCGAAACCGTGGATCCCTTTAAACCGTGGATCCCGTCAAGGGTTCCCTAAACCCTAGACCCTAAAGCGTGGATCCCTTTACGGGTTTCGAGGGGTTCCTGGAACCTAGAGCTTTGGGGCTGAGTACCCTAGCCGCAAAAAAGCTAACCTTTTGAGTTATAGTAGGATTATTAATATAAGCCCCAAAAGTTAAGGGTTACTTACCCAGCCCCTAAGAGAGTCTTTGGGTCGAGGGACGTGATATTTCATGTGCTCGGAGGACCGGGGGACTTAGTAAGGAGGGTTTGGGGTTGCTGTTTAGGGCTTAGGGCTTAGTAAGTAGGGTTAGGGTGTAGGGTTCAGGGCTAAACAAGTAGGGTTCAGGGTTTAGGGCTAAGTAGAGTTACATGTAGCCTGAAAGGGATGCTAGTTAGGGTTATGGTTCACGACTTACTAAGTCCCCCGATCCTCCAAGTCGATCCCTGACTGGCGTACCCTCAACCCTAAACCTTAAACCCTAAAGCCCTAAACCTTATACAGCCTAAAACCCTAAAGCCCTAAACCCTCAAGCCTAAAACCATAAACTCTAAACCCTCAAGCCTAAACCCATAAACTCTAAACCCTAAAGCCTAAAACCCCTAAAGCCTAAAACCGTAAACTCTGAACCCCTAAAGCCTATAACCCTAAACCCTAAACCCTAAACCACCATTCTTCCAGGACCTGTGGCCTCAGGATCCCAATTAACATCTATTTTGAAGGTAATGTAGGGGCCTTAGTCATTAGAGCAGGGTTTGGGGATTCCTTCAAAGGGTTCCTTAAAGGGTTCTATAAGGGCTACTTAAGGGTTTAGGTTTAGGGGCCTTATAAATTAATAATCAGAATATTGTTTCGAGAAATATCATACGATATTTATGACAGGTAACCACCCCCTCCAAAATAAAAAACATCGATAATTACTTAAGCCCTATATTAGGGGTGAAGGGGGGGGGCTTAGGATTGAGGGTTAAACCCTAAACCCCGTTCTCCAAGGCCGAAGCGCATGTTGGTTTCGCTGTTTAAAATTTTTGTGTTAATACAGGGGTCTTAAAAATTGCCAATAGTATTTTGGGGGTTTAGGGTTTTAGGGCTTAGGGTTTCGGGTTTAGGGAAATTACCTATACTATTTTGATTTTGGAGGGGTCCTTGTTGTGATTATAATATAATCGACACCAATCCCTATTCTAATTCTTAAAGCCCCTACATTGCCGCTGCATGGCGTGTTCTTTCTGAGTTTCCGAATGTTGCTGCTGCTCGTACACACAAACCCCTAAACCCCAAACCCTAAAGCCTAAACCCTAAACCCCTAAACCCTAAACCCTAAATCCCTAAACCCCTAAACCCTAAACCCCAAAACCCAAAGCCTTCTTCCAGGGATGAGTCTTGAACTGTCTCGCTGGCTGCTGCCAAAGGTTCGGGCGCTGAGGGACTTCGGGGCTTGGAGTTTGGCGTTTAGGGGTTTAGGGTTTAGCTTTTTTTTTGAGGGCCTTTTTGGTGTCTGCCGTGAAGCGTTCTCCAAGCTCATATTGAGCAGGCTGCGGGCTTCCTTGAGCCCTCTCAAACCCTTTTAAACCAAACATCACTGTGGCGTCAGTTCATCTTCCTGCTGACCTTCGCCCAGAGCCCTGCCCTGGTTCATGCCTTCGTCCATGCCCTCGCCCATCAGAGTCCCTCTGTGCAACGAACCCCTCGCTGTGCTCCCTTGTCCCGATGGTGCTCACCTCCTCTGCCTCCTCCACTTCATCAAGCACAGTATCCCCTGCTCCCTCATTGACCTGGTGAAACCCACACTCATGTACTCGACGTCGTCCCTCACCACTTCGCTCCGGGTCGTCATCCACACCACCCTCCCCCTTCTCCATGTCCATGAGGAACTGTTGCGCCTGCATCAGGTCCAAGGCCGCCTCCCCCCACATGGCCAACACATATTCAGGGGGGATGAGGCCCCGGTCGCATTCCCACTGACTCGAGTGACCACTTCTAGCTCAAGTATTTCACGACGTGAGTGAGCTTGAGCTTTGGGGAACACCGTCGCGGACATCAAGAGCTTGTTGTCGGGGAAGGCCAGCTTGAAGATGTCTATCGACTTCATTTCTTTCACCAAGTTCAAGACGTTTTTGATGACCAAGTCCGTCACGATGGCAGGTTTCTTTTTCGTTGTTATCGTCCTCTTTTCCTCTTCTTGACCTCTTCCTCCTCGGTGAACTCGAATACGTTCAGCTTGTCCGCCTTCGAGGTCAACACCCCCTTCGACATCTTCAAAACCTCGTCCAGGGCCCCCGACAGAGCCTTCTTGACTTTAGTGACAAGCACTGCGTCACGCCACCGTGTCCTGAGGTTTCTGCACGCCATGTACAAGAGCTCTATATTGACCTTGAAGAACTCCTCTTTCCCGGAGACCATGTTCGAGATCTCCCCCAACTCGGACATTGTTGCGCCCTCCAAGGCCTTCTTCACAAACTTGTCCTCCATCTCGAGCATCTTCAGCAAGATCTGCTGGTTCATCGACAACTCCCCCCAGAGGTGGACGGAGGTCAAGTGGCTGAGGAAGAAGACGAAGTTGAGCTCCATGACATTGAGACTGCCACTTCCGAAAGGATCGGGAGCCATTCCTTCAACAACTCCCTACGTCCGGCTCTTTCTCTTTCATGAGCTGTGTGAGGTAGGTCCTCCGTAAGTCTATAACCCTTGGAACCAACTTGAACAGTAAGTTGGCATCTTGCGCTGGGCGAAGATGCAGACCAAGATGAAGCACTTCATCGAGTTCTTGCTCTCGTCAGCCCACATGTCGGACCTCGTCATAGAGTTCCAGGAATTGATCACCGACACGAACCTCTTCACCCCGGTCATCATGATGTTGATGTCCGACAACGTCAAGCTGACCCACCGGGAGCTAATGGTCCAATGGTGTTGTCGTTCATCATCGTGAACTCGAAGGTCTTGTTGAAAAGGTTGCTGGTGTCGTTCTCGGAGGAGACGACTATTCTGAAGGAGAAGGTCTTGTTCCTCTTTTTAGCTCTGTTGACCTTGCAACCACGGAGGTGATTGATTTGCGAATTTTATCTAGAACCCCTAGCTATTAGTGTTATCTCTAATGCTCCTAAAGTTTCAGAAGAACATAAACTAGACAAGCCCTTACAATCAGATCGCCTCCGACTTCTTCTTTCGGGAAACCGCCCGTGCTTTGCGGGGGCCCCGTTTCTTAATTACGTAATTGTACGGTCGCCAAGCCCTTCTCAGCACAGCGGCCTCCTCGCGCTCAATCCATCCGCGCCACTTTCTTACGAGGTCGCGGCAGTGATTTCTGCCCCCGGCAGGGGTGGCTCCAGGCCGGCTTCAAAATTGGCAATAAACTTCTTAATTCCGTGCCACCAGAAAGGGCGCACCTCATGCGTACGAGTAAGTCCTGGGGTCGTCCAGAAATAAAAAAAGTCTAAAAAGTAACCCACTGTAGAAACCGCACCTCAAAATGTGCTTTCCCCCCCCCGCCCCTTCCACCTGCATCTGGCCGGAACCGGCACTGGCGCCGCCACCGCCGCTTCGAGAGGTCGCATCTGTGAGTGTGGCGCGCCTGGAGTGTCTGTGAACCCGGCGAAACAAGCTAAGAAAACAAAACCCTACCGGGGGGATTAGAAGAAGCAGAACCCTGAAGAAAGCAGTCTAGTCGTAAACCAAACCCAACCCAGGATCCTCGTGGAACATGCGGCCATCTGGCGTTCTCCCCTCAAAGATCTGGACGTCGACGTGCTCGTCCTGAAGGAAGTAAACCAACTGAGATTATAAATTCAGATCGAACCTCCCTTTGAAAGACAGAGAACACAGAAACCCTCCGAAACCCAGACCTAAGAACCGGAAGAACAACAGCGCCCGAAGGACACACTCCTCATCGATGGTTGTCAGGCCAAGGGGATCGAATGAGGGATTGAGAGCACCGCACTCGACGCACCAGAAGCGATTATCCTGCTGCTGCGTGTGTCTGGGGGAAAAAAAAAATCTGACATCCACCAGCCCGGCAAAAAGCCCTAGGAACCCCAAAGCCCTAGGAAAAAGACACCCGGAAGGAAAGAAGGAACCCTGAAGGACCCCACTAGCCTGGCCGTACTCCAGCTAAGCGCTGCCGCACTCATAACATCCATAATCACCGACGGTGTAGCGGAGCGTCATGCCGGCGTAGATGCAGGGAATTACTCGCAAGAGGCTGAGCGCGACAGAAGGCTGCGGCGTCCGGCCCAGAATCCTACACTACACCCTCACCTCCTTGAGGTACTCGTCGAAAATCTTCTTTTACGGTTTAGGGTTTAGGGTTTCGGGTTCGTTTTGGGGTTTAAAGGGTTCCTTAAAGGGTTCTAGAAGGGCTGGCATAAGGGTTTAGGTTTAGCATTTAGGGTTCAGGGTCTTAATGTAGGGGCCTTAATAATTAGAATAGGGTTTTGGGGCCGATTGTACTCTAGTTATAATATGGAACCCTGAACATTGTGTTGGCAAACATTTAAAATGTAGGCCTCTACAGTACTGTCGCTGCTGGGTGCGTGTGCATATTTTTTTTTCGGTTGTGCGTCTGCTGATGCGATGTTTCTTCAGTTTGCTGTCGCCGGGGGGGGGGCCTCTACAGCAAAACAAGCGCACGGGTTGCATGTTCACGAAACCTACGGTATGGCCGTTACGGTTTATCTTCCATCAACCAATCCCTAAACCCTAGATTAGGTTTAGGCAAACTTGGAATCCTGAGCTGTGCCACGTCTTCAACAAAACGAAGCTCCACACACGCCTAAACCCTAAACCCTAAACCCAAAACCCTAAACCTTAAACCCTAAACATTAAACCCTGAACCCAAAACCCTAAACCTTAAACCCTGACTTAACCCCAAATATCCTACCTTGTTTAAGGACGTATACAAAGAATTCATAATAAGGGGCCCTGAAAAAAAAAAACTAAACCCTAAACCCTAAACCCTAAAGTCTAGCCGAGCCCACCCAGCCCACTGTCTGGGGCGGGCGAGGCTTGCGTCCCGAACAACTTTGTGAGGGTCGGCTCGTAGTAGGTGCCTCTACGCATAGTGTACATTACATACTCTGGATAGGTAAACACCCTAGATCCTCCACCGAAATGCTTCTGGCGGTTCCCACCCCCCCCTGCCCAAAACTGGTTCTGGCGGTTCCCACCCCCCTGCCCAAAACTGGTTCTGGCGGTTCCCCCCCC